ACAAAAAATAAATAAATAAATAATAAAAAAAAAAAGAACAAACAAACAAGAGCCTATCAAACTTAATGCAATACAAGAGTTCATAAACATATATACCTTTGAAAATCATAATAAATAACCTGTTCCACCGATACAAAGTAGAAGAACTTGTAGTAACAAACTTCTTATAAAGGACTTGGGACATCCACAAGAATACATAGTTTAAAGGGCATCCCATGCACATTACAACTTTCACACAAGATGCCAACGATATTTTACAGCAGAAGATAAATGGTTTGTAGCCTATAGCACAGAAAAATTGCAAACAATAGTATACCAAACAAAATCAATATAATTTTAAAAAATTTACCTCATGCCTCAAAAGTTTGGTTCCCAATGACCCTTAATCTCATATGCATCTTAAGTGCACTAATTCACTATAAATGAGAAAAAAATATGTTTTATGAGTCTTTGAAATATAGTACTACTACAGTACTACCTCAACTTCACAATCTTGTTAACATATTCTATTTTTGTCTGTTTCATAACTTTCTTAGCATATCTACTTTTTATTCCATTGATTGGCAAACCCATAACACTACTACGTTACCCCAAACCCCACAAAATTTTCACCTTCCCACTCGTTCTCCTTACTTTATCCACCTATTTCTTACACCTATCTAAATTATTACACTCTTACTTCATCCACCTATTTCATACACCTACCCACCTTATAACACTCTCTTACTTTATCCACCTTTGTATTACACCCACCCACCTTTTTATAATCTCTCTCCTTTGCCTAAAATATTGTGCAAACTAATAAATGCTAAGAGCATTTTGAAACAAAGGTAGTATATTAAAATCTATGGCTCCATTGAAGTTGGGCTTTTATCTTATCATTGTAATAAGAAAGAGATGTTTACATAGAGTCCATAGTACAATGAATAATAATTTCCCAATGCTTCACAAGATAATAATTTCCTAATGCTTCACAGCATAATAATTTAATTGATCTACTACACTTACGTCCAATAGCTGCTAATGATTAGTGATTTTCAGGGTAAATGAGCTTGAATGCATACAAATCAAAGAAAATTGCAAGCACGCTGTACTTAGCAAATGTGTCTCAAAGTTACAATAGCTAGTTATCTTCTTCATATTAGACATATTAGTTGGCATATACACAATATACTTGAAGGATCATAACTAGCTAGGCTCACAAAATACATTTAGGTTTTCTCAACTATATGATATGAATCACAACCTCCTCCTTGTTTACTTTATGTCCCTTTAAAGACCATAAAAACTGGAGGATGAGCAAAGTAATTGGACTTATTATTAAGTCTTTAAGATAAAGAATAGATAAAGAGATTCATTTAGGAGGATTCAAGCCACCACTCATTCAGTGTTTCCTTTCTTGTATCCCATTTTATTATGTCCCCTTTCAGGATACCCATAGGTGTGAAAAAACACTAGGATATTAAAGAAAATTATGATAACCTTTCCACACTGTGATGACTTTTTACAAATTGAAGCACTCAAAACAACCCATAAACCCTACCTAGCAAAATTGCGGCCAATTTAACAACACAGTTCTCAAGTACAGTGCCCAGAAATTAAGTGACGACAAATTTCTTGGAATTAACATGACATATCCCCAAACCTTCCTTAGTTTTGTAACCATCTTCATGCTTTCTAACCAGAAGAAAGCAAGATTCACTAAAATAGTGGAATGTCAAACTAACTGCACAGAGATAGTAAACCTTACCACAGAAAATTCTCCCTTTCCTAAAAATTCATGGTAATTGTAACACTCCAAATTTAAGAATGCAAAGTTTTATATTTTGGATATGGTTGCAATCATGAACATTGTTGCAGAACCACTTTCACACACAGTGTGTATGTTTTCCACTGTCATGAGCTATTGAGCTCAAAATTCTTTACAATACAAAAATGTAATAATTTTTTAACCATGAGTTGATAGCAGTGCATCCCAATTTTTTACAGCTTAATAAGCTCAAATTTAAAAATGAAGACAATGTAAAGCAGCCCATGATTAACAAGTAAAGAAAGATACAGAAATTACATGGGAACCATAGTCATGAAGATAAAATTTCTCACATTGCAAAAGCATGGACTTCATAGCATATCAACTAAGGGAAATGGCAGCTATATTGCTATAAGCATGCCTTCTGAGTCACTTCAAACATTATTACACACGAGCATGAAGTAACTGAGTCAAAATAATTTGCTAAAGATGTGGAATGTCACATGATAATTTCATAATTCTTAAAATATAAGAATTACTAATATGTTGGAAGCCAAAATCATATAGTAAAGAAACTCGGATAGAAGACTAAGAATATTACATATTTTGCTGTAAGAGCCTGCAAATCAATTCTTGGGATCAACTTCACTGTTGCTCTTTTTCGCTCATTGTTGATAGCCACCACCTAAACCAATATAAGTTCCAATTGAGAAGCAAATACTAGGACCTGATGTATGTTAGCAAGTTGTAATAAAAATCTACCAAACCTGTGCTAAGTCACCCCTGTAAATTCCATTCTTTACCCGTGCCCATGAACCCTCTTTGACTTCATGATACCTCTTTTTAACAACCAAGAGGTGACCAACTTCATTAGGTGGTACTGGTGTTACAAGGCTAAAGTATACATCAGCAAGCTGGTTACATGCCTAAAAATCCATTTAAATGAAGATTTTTTTAGACAAGGATGCACAGTTAGGCAATATTGAAGAGAAAATAGGGCCACTTTAATAAAATTACCTCTGCTACATCAGACTGCCTCTCTGCTTCAACAAATACAAATCCTTTAATGTGCTCCACAGCAAATGCAGATATTATCTGCAGCTTCGTTCCTAAGACTTTCAAATCTACATACTTTTGAATCAGGCAAAATACTGTATTTTTTTCTCGACCAACCTACATGTGGAGGAAAAGTAGTGTTCATAAAATTAAATTGTGCAAAATAGATGGAGACATAACAATGACATTTAGAACACGTTTGGTAAGAGTACTTATTTGGTTGGAAACGGATTCAACTAAACCATTACCATTAATTCGTGTTTGGTTAGAAGGTTTAGGTAACATTAATCATTACCCCTGGGTAATGGTTTCCACCTAATTGTTACCTCTCTTAAATCTAAGGTAACAATTACCCTAACCCTCCTCAAACAAAAAAGAGATGAAGTTACCTTTCCATAGTTAAACCAAACATATAAAAAACTAAAGGTTAATTGATTCCTTTCCCCTCTCTTATTTGTTCCCTTTCCACTCCATTTCCAATATTCATACCAAACGCTCCCTTAAGTGATGAAATAAAATAAATATTTGAGAATAGCCATTTAATTTTGATGCCAAGAGAAAGGTTTTGAAAAAAAAAAAAAAAAATCATACCTTACATTTGACCTTCCAGATGGTCGGTTCCCCAGAAGGCATAAGTTCACTCTTGTCTACAGATCTTTTAGACTCATTATCATCTTCAGCATACCTAACATATCCAGACCCCCTCCTATAACGCTCTGCTATCATTTTCTCCAACTCATCACCACTCAACTCTTCTTCTTTAGGGATAAAAGGGACCTGAACAAATCTTTCAGGCTCACTTTTGACTTTAGGATCCTCAAGATAATCGGCCAAGAAATCTGGTCAATAACACAGAGCAGAGATATCAGTTGGAATGGATTGCAAGAAGAACCGACAAATATTCACACGCCAGCAGGAACACATTTTTATGCTAATGTTTCTAAAATAGGAAAGAAACAATAATACTAACAATCTAACATATAACAAGGTATTGTTAACATAACCAATAAAATAATATATTACCCATATATTAAAACACACAAATTTCATTATAAAATTTTCATTAATTAACCAACTACAGGAAACAAAGGCATTGAAATTTGAATCATCCAAAAACACGTCAAAAAATTTTAAAAAAAAAATTAATAACAATAAAACAAGTAATTATGCACTACAGTTTAACAATAAAACAATAAAACCACCCAGATTTCTTGAACCTATTACAGTACAGATGGTGACCCTGAACCCCAAATTTCACGGAAAAGAGCTTCAAAAATGCTAAGATTAACACGACACTACCAAAGTCACTAATAAAAAAACCCACCCAAATTTCCCTATTTTAGACAAAATACCCACATTTCTTATTTTTCAACAAGCACCCACATTTCCAGTTTTTTTTTTTTTTATGAAGCCGCACCACATTTCCATAATTTACAGGATACTGAAGAACCACTAAAAAAAAAAATACACTTCGTAACATAGCATAAAACATACAAATAAATAAATAATCACCAACAACAAGCCATAAAATTTTGAAACTTTCAGGAACACCCAAAAACATTTATCCATAACTATATAAGAAAAAAGAAAACCCACCCAGATTCCAGAAAAATTTACATGCAGAAACCCTTAAAACCAAAATTGAGGTAAAAAAGATAAATGTAAGTTAATTACAGATATGAAACCCTAAAAAGTCAAGTCTTTACAATTAGAAGAGAATAGGAAAATGAAAGAGAAATTAAATCAAACCATCATCAAAAAAGTCATCGCTGCCGCTGTCGCTGGCACCACCATCTTCAACGGCAGTGTCTTCGAAGAACTGTAGAATGCTGCGATTTCTCTTGCTTTTACCACCATTTCCGTCGTCTCGTTTTCTCTTTCCAATTGAATCGTTACCGTCGGCTATTCCCTTCCCTTTCGACGCCATTTCTGGGCAGGTCAAGAAGATACTGGCATGAGTAAGAGCAGATACTAGAGAGAAAGAAGAGAGAGAGAGAGAGGTGTGTTCAGTGTGATCGGGTTCTGGGTCTTTGAATTTGTTTGAGGGGTTGGTATTATATGATAGTACGAATATGGTCCCTAAATGACCGTATTTATGCACTTTTGGTCCCTCGTCTTTTAAATGTTCACCTTTAATCCCTCAACCACCAAATAAAGAAGTTTTCAAGCCAAATTGTGTAGGGACTAAGAGGGTGTTTGGTATGGGTTTTTTATAGGGATGGAAATGGAATTAGATTACCGTTTCCGTTAGAATATGTTTGGTTAAGGAGTAAAGTAACAAAAATTGTTTCTTGGTAATAAACCATTCCACCACTTTGTTTCCGGTGTAAAAACTGGACAAACATATCACGATTCTATCCTCTAACCCAAAAAAAACTCAACTCTACCCTTTCTCACTCCTCTTATTCCAAAATTCTCCAAAAAAATTCCTAACTTTGATTGATCGAATCTCCAGATTTCGCTTAATTTGATCAATTTTCTGACATCAAATCACCAAATATCAACCTTCTTAACCATTACAGGTTTGTTATCTATCAATTTTGCTAAATAAACCCTAGATTTTGAATTTGTGTTGAATTTATATAATTTTCAATTTAACTGTTTGTATTTTGATTTTTTATCTTGAAAGACTTTGATTGCTATGTAATTGGCGTATTTTCGATTTCATAATTACTTGTCGTTTCTCTCGTTTAATTTCTAGGATTAATACGATATCAATTTCGCCGCTTTTTGGTTTGAACTACTTGCTTGTTTGATTTAAATTTTTTTTTTGCACTTTCTTAGGGTTTCTATTTCTCAAATTTCGTTGATTTTCTGCTGAATTTGATGGTATATATTGCTATTATTGTCTATAATTGTTGTGGTCAAATGGGTTATGGTTTAACCAATGGGTGCCTTGTTAAAAATTATGCTCCTATTACTAAACAAGCTGTTCCTATTGCTAACTGATGATTGTTGCTGTTGTTCTTCATTATACTGTTGTTGGCCCTAATTTGATAATTGTTGCTAACAATCACGGAATTCCTACTGTTGTGTTTATTTACCGGTTATTTTGTGTTTCCCCCCAAATTTTTCCCATGAATTTGGTTTATTTTTGGTGGGGTGATTGTATAGTTGGTGATTTTTTTTTTTTTTGGATTTTAAGTGCATTAGAAAGTTGCTTATTCAGAATTTTGATCTGGGTTGGTTTATTTACGTATTATTTTGTGTTTTCAAAGGCTTGATTTTTAGAGATGATTTGCTTGCTTTTATGTTTAAAAATAGTTTATTTCGTTAGATGAATAAGCAGCTTAAGAACAACGAAAATTCCTTATTAGTCACTAATGTTGTTTGTGATACTAGTGTATATTGATACTAGTGTACATTTTTTTTTGGACTGTTTTTTCAAGGTTTCTACAATGCCTCGACTAATGCATTCTATAGGGAAGAAAAGGCTCAAACAACTACAGGGTACGTACAGCAGAAGCCAAGCAGTTTGGATATTGGAAATATAATGAAGACATGGAGAAAAGAATAATCATAGATCAAATAAAGCTAGAAGAAGACAAGGCTGATAAGAAACTAGTAAGTAGTAAGAATATTGATGTTTACAACAAGACATCATGGCTTATGTGGATGATTTGAATGATGGGGTTATGAAGAGGAGTCTTTTGCAGTACATCATGGCTTTCATATTACCCTTAAGGCTTATCATCTATTGTTTGCTTATGTGTTAATTTTTCATGCTCGATCTTAGTTTTCAGCCCTTTTTGAAATTGTATTTACAACGTTATGACCTTATCAGCTTATGGCGCTGGCCTTGGCCATTCTGCTTGCTTCTATTGTTGTGTCTTCAATTGGTCAGATAAAAGGGTGTTTGTAGGTTGATTGAGAATTTATGTAATGAATTGATGTTTTGGTGTCAAGGATATTAACTAGTATCTTCTTTATAATCCAATGCAACTCAACTACGTTTGAGTAAAATGTTGGTAGTGAACCATAAAAGATTATGCGATCAACTCATATTCAAATAGTTTTACTATGGTTGATGCGGCTTAATGTAGGGGTATTGGTCTAGTAAAATTATGTTACATGAAAATCCAGAAATAGATTATTTCATTTGGTGATACTTTGTGGCTTGCGCAATTCAGTTTGAAAATAAGTGAAGAATATTTGCAAGCACCATCACATACAATAAGATAATTTCTGTACTCTGATCTCCAATTTTCTTCACTTCTATAACTGTAGCGAGTTGTGGAGATTGGGCGTAGTTTGGACAGAAATTTAGCAAAGAAAAGAGGCATTTTAACCTTATAATATATGCTGAATTTTGCTCTTTGATATGTCGACTACTGTTTGTTGTTCTTGTTATGTAAATTCTGATTTGGGAAGGGCATTTATATGGCTTGCTACTAATGATGAAAAATGTGTGATTAATGATGTTTTTGATGTGACATTCCTGCTGTTAGTTACTATGGTTACTATGATGAAACATTTTTGATCTATTGTTGTTGTTAGTTGCTAATATTAAACTTTGCATTTTCTACTAGACTAACCACTATTGCTATATCAGATTTTTTTAAAAAAATATATTAGTCACTTTAGACTGTCTCATTAAATTGTTGCATTCGCTCTTATATGACAGGCTCATAAGAAAGCTAAAGGGTTGTTTGGAGTTTCAATTCATTCATTCACTATGATACTCTTGCGGAAATATACGCAAAAGACAAAGCTACCGGAGATGCAAGTGAGTCGTTCGTTGATGCTATAGAAGATATGGACCAAGAGATTGATAAGAAACCATGGAATGTCGAGAGTGATGAAAAATGATGTGATTGATCTTCTTAAGTAGAAATTTTGTTCTAAGTTGTTGAAGTTAATGTTTCAATGAATTTTGAATGTTTTTTTTAATGGTTATTAGTGTTGTTCTACTTCTATTGCATAATGTGTAGCAATAATTAGCAAAAACAACAAAAAAAATTTAAGGAAACTATTTCTTTCCAAGCTATTTATACTAAATTAAAAAAGAGGAAACAGATTTGTTATAATTGATTACGTTTCCTTAGTGATACCAAACAACTAGTAAGAGTAACACTATATATTACCCTTTCCCCCCTGATTTGTTTCCAATCTGTTACCTTTACTAATTTGATACCAAACCTGACTTTTGTAATCTGATCTGATTGTTTGATTTGACCAAACTTTAATCTTTTGTAAACCATAATTTATATAAAAAAAAATCTGAACTTATTTTTTCTAACCTAATCTGAACTTATTTTTTCTGATCTGACCTAATCCGAACTTATTTTTTCTGATATAATCTTATCTAAACTTATTGTTTTCTGATGTGATATGAATTTTTTTTTTTTTCTGATCTGATATGAACTTATTTTATCTCAAAGGAAATTTTAATCCTAATAATCCAACCTTGAACCGATTTAATTTTATTAATCCAACCTTTTGATTATTTAGAAATAATATATGCTTTAGGGGGTGTTCTATTTTATTAGGCTAAAACCGGTTGGTGAGCAGTTGAAAAGGTTAACTTGCCACATGTTGTATTTTGATTGGTCCAAATATTTTTTTATAATTTTTTTTTTCTTAAAATTCTTCCTTCTTCCCCCTTACCATTTTCTCTTTCCTCCCTTTGTTGTTCATCCATGACTGACAGTCATGGCAGCCACCACAACCACTATATCTTAGCTAGCTAGCCACTACACCCTACCGAAACCACCTAGCCACCACCCACCCTCACCTAAACTAGAATCGCCCCACCGTCCCCTCACTCCCTCCTCCACTGACCCTCCACACTCTCCTCGTTTCCTCTCCATATATTCACCTCCCCTTTCCACCCCTTTTCGATTTCCGACCACTCTACCTAGGAATTGTCAATTTCAAGCCACCCATACAAAGCAGAAACCCACCTTCAAAACCCACCTTTATATGAAACCCACCCACCTTCAAAACCCATGCAACTTCGAAATCTACCTTCGAAACCTAGTATACCTTCAAATCCCAGGGAAAAACTGTAGACACCTAAAAATGTCTCCCTAAAACCAAACCCGATGATGAACAACCTTTCACCGCCACTATTGGTCGGGTCGAGTATTTAATCTTGGGAGTGCTTAAAGTCCATATTTAGTTAAACACATTTAACAAATCAGTCCAAGTATTTAGTCAAAGCATAGTCCAACCCTCATTTCAACCCAAACCCTTTTAATCCATTTCATTCTATTTATTAATTAACCCCGATTAATAAATATTGAAACCGTAAACATAAATAAGTCCGGAACACTGGAAAGACAGGTAAATTATCTCATACTTAATGCAAATTAAAAGATAAAGATGAACTTAAACGAAATTCCAGAAAACAAAAACGCGGCGACACGACAATATCTACCACGCCACGACGATTTCTGCCGCGCCATGGAAATTTCTAGATTTAATTTCTCCGTGACGCTTCATTTCTAGGGTTCTAGATCTCACCCCTCTCATTTCCTCTATACATACGAGGCTGATTTCTCAGTTTTGAGGCACTAACACACATTCTAATCCCTCTCTCTAATATTCTAACCCTTAAACCTATTTTCCTAATTACACCATTATTCCTTCCCTAAGCACTCCTCAGAGTCCATACAACACCCGAAGTTCTGTACCTAATGTTTCGGGGTTTTTTGTGTCCTGCGGGAGAGTTACATCACCAAGATTGGATTCCCTTTGCATGTACCTGCAAAACAACGGAAGATCCGGTTGGTAGGAGTTCCACCTTCGACGATCAAGTTAGAACCAGTCGAAGTAAGGTAAAAAGTGCGGAAAGTACAGGTAAATCTTCTCGAATCCCGAGAGCAGGTGTTTTTGCTAATGTGAGAGAATAGATTGTATGTAATAAATGAGCGTGTCCCCAAAATGGGGTAAATCTCCCTATTTATAGGGTCATTGGTAAATGTGCCCTTACCTAGGCCATTCTGACCTACATTTGGTGGGTTGCGCCGTTTTGCGGCAACCTCGGGAATTGGGCCCTGAAAGCTGTCATTCCCTGATGAATATCCGTATGCCACGTGTCAAATCTAGGTGAGTCCATGTGGACTCCTTTCAGGGTGACACGTGTCACACTCTCATTGGTCCATGTGGCGGGGGTAAAAAATCCTTGGTGACGTGTCACACTCTCATTGGTCCACGTGCCACATGATGCTTGTAACAAGTGTCACAGTGTTATGGGTGAACAATGTTATTTATTGCTCACCTTCTAAGGTAATTTTCATAATTGCCCCTGAAACTTTACCCCTCTATAAATAGTTTTCACCCCCCTCATTTTCGCATATTCACGAAAATTCTTCGAGAGAGAATCTTTGACTTTTGAGAGAATTTGATTATTGCCGCTTGAGTTCGATCCGCCTGCATCGCAGCTGTTCCAAGCAGTTCCATTAGTACTTTTAATACAAGGTAACCGCCTGCTCTCTCTCTCTTTCTTGTTCTTTAATTACCGTTTGTGTTTGTTATTCCTTAATTTCAAAATGGTTTCACAAACACACACGGCACGGCCTAGGATCGCTGTCAGTCGGTCAACCGGGACGACTGAATCTAGGACTAGGATTGCCACCTACCCCCACTTGGACTCCCCTCTGCAAAAATCCCCGAATTCGACCGTCTCTATGTCTATGCAAGACATTATGGCCAGAACTAAAAGGACGACCTAAGGCCTCGTAGATGGTCATGAGGATGACGACACTATTAGGGTGCCAAGAAATGAAGTTTTTGACTACCACCCGGCACCCCAAGTATGCCGGATGACTCCATTTTGAACGAGTTAGATGATGAATCTAACAATTACGCGTCCGGCTCTGAACAAGGGTCATTCCAGTCGGACGCCGCCTTAGGCAGTTCTAATGCTAGAACAGAGCCGCTTGTGGCCCATGAAGAGCCATAGAGCTCTGAATCCGCCTCTGATTCCGAGGAGGAGGCGACCTTTGCTGAAAGAGGACAAGGGGAGGCTTCTTCCTCTGCGCAAGAAGATTTCACTCCCTACTTCACCCAAATCTCTGCTGGAATCTAGAGAAAAATGCGCAAAAAATTAAATGACTTCCGGGACACCCATGTCATGGAGGCCGGATATCAGATCCATGTTCCTGATCTGGATGATACGGTCGTCTGGCCATTTCAGCAAACCTATGGAGATCAATGCTTTGGATGTTATGAGGTAGCAATACAGGCGGGCTTGAGATTTCCCCTGGATCCGGATGTTGTGAAGATCCTGGATGGGTACCGCCTGGGGGTTTGGCAGCTTGCCCTCAACTCATGGGAGAACATACTAGGGTATGTCGCTTCCTGTAGAATGCTAGGGGTAGAGCTAGGCTTTGAGGCCTTTGTTTCAATGCATTATTTGAACAAAGCTCCTAGGACAACCGACCCCGGATGGTACACCTTGACTTACAACAAAGGGTTTATGATGACCTTGGGTAAAGAATCGAAATGGAAGGACTGGCGAAATAGATTCTATATCATCTCCTCACCAGACACCCGCCGGAACCGAGAGTATAATACTTGGAACAAAAATCTGTACCTTCTAGGCTAGAAGGCTATCCTCTCGCTTGTACCTGACGAAGGTTGGGATCAAATTTTGACGCTTGGTCTGTTTAAGGTCACCACCAAGACCATAGAGGGAAGGAATGAAAGAGAGATAATTCCCAATAGTTACATCCCTAGGTTTGAGTGGCTAAGGGACCCTACTTAGCCGCTTGCAGCCTTAGCATAGAAAAAACCAAAGGTAGCTGGCCGGATGAGGCTATTTAGCAAATTGCTTTTTTTTTTGTTTTTTTACTGACATTCATCCGGCCTTTTTGCAGAAGAAGCAATGACGCGACTTTCTCCAAGTAAGAAACCTGCTAGCTCAACCGCCAGATGATCTGGCAAAAAAGCCAGATCTTCAAGAAAGACCAGTTGGAACATGTAAGTTTTTCACAACTTAACAGCTGCAGTCAAGCAGACCTTATTTCCTTAAAATTTAGTAGCTTAACTCTTTATTTTCAGGAAAGATCAACTAAGCCGCCTGTTCCCCCCAATTTTGGTATGAAGCCACTGAAGTGTCTGTTTGCTGGAGAGGACCAGATGCCCTCCAAATCGTGGAATTTAGTGACGCAGAAGAATCTTTCTACATCCAAGTCTAGGGATGATTCTTATCCCACCACTGGCAACAAATTGCCTGCTTCCCTTGAAGCTCTCAAAAAACCGGACGCCCCTCGGGCATCGAAGAGTGGCAAGCCATTCTCCGCTGCTGTCGGCTCAAGAGCAACAAGCGGACATGCCTCAGGCGGACGCAAATACAAGTGTCCTCAAGACTTAGAGGTTGAGCTCCCAGGTATTAGTGCCTTCAATCCATTACCTTACCCTTGTAGGGTAAAGTCTTATCAACAGTCGCCCAGCAGCTCTAAAGACACCCGATCTATAGGCCGGGCTTATGTCAACTTCTCACCAAGTTTGAATGTGCATATGCTACTTAGTGGCCGGATATACAGCAGTCGCTAAGAACATGCCTATGGCCGTCTTTGTTGAGGAACGGGAGTCTGTAAGGGGGTTGACACTCTCAACTTTGATGCCATACTGGCTCTGCTAGCTGAGGTAACCTGGCTTTAAGTTAGAAAATTTTCCGAACTCTTTGCATCCCGACTACTAATTAATGCTTTTATTTTGCCGGATTTAGGCCATGCTGCGGGTGAATGGGATGAAGAAGCCATTCCAGGACAAACAAAAAGAGGTAAAAGCTGCCAACGATTAGGCCGCCTCTTCTCTTAACCAAGTAATGTTTGACATTTTAAAGAATGATGCACTGACTCATGATATCCTGCATCCGCAGGCGACTGCCAAGCTACAGGTTAAGCAGCAACTAAAGGTAGCCCAGAAGAGTGTATTTGATCTTGAAACTAAGCTAAAGTCAGCCAAGTCCGAGCTTGAGAAGCTAGAAGATGTGGGCAGGGATACAGATATCCTTCGTCGCCAGAACGAGAATCTAAAAAAGAAACTGGCCAACTAGGAGGAGA